ATGTTAAACAATGATTTATTTTCAAATATTTTAAAAAAAGTTAATAAACTCATTTTTAAGGTATAATTATTTGTACTATAAATTTATTATTTTATAATTATTTTTTATTTATACTTAAGAATTTGAACAAATTAAAGACCATTATTTCTCAAATAATATACAAATCTATTTTTCTTAAGTCCTAAATTATGTCCATTTTATTAAGATTAATTGTGTTAATGTAATTTGATTTCTTGGTGGTTGCTATATGTGCATCAATTTGGATATTTTTGCATTTGTCCGCAAATTCTCCAAGGCCCGGTACTAAGAGTATGCTGGAATAGGAAAATGAAGATGGACAAAAGGAAAACAGAGAGAGAAAAAGTATTTTAAAATTTTAATTTTTTAATATTCTAAAATTATTAATTACACTAGATAAAGCACCAATTAAGTTTTCTTTTGTAAATAATTTTCACATAATGAAATATTGAAAACCACTAATGGGGCAAAAAATCTCAGAATTGAAAACTTAAGTTAAAATCAATTAAAGTTTGTTTCTTTAAATATTAAATTGATAAAACTTAATGTTTTACTTAACTATTTATACCAATTACTAAAGTAGAACCTTCTTCTTTTAGCTTACTTTTTCTTAATATTTTTAAAGAGAATGGTAGGATCTGTGCCCAACGCTTCCTCTTAGTAATTCCGCCACTAGTTGGACTTCTTAGAAGTCTTTTAAAGATGCATCCACTTTAATAATTTTGCCTAGAATAGGATTCCTTCGTTATAACTATAGCGAGAAAGTATGTTCTCCGCCGCCACCCCCACCCTCACCCTCATCCTCCCCAGAAAAAAGGGTGAGAAAGTATTCCAGATTCCAAACTTACATCTCACACCAATTGGTATAATGAATGAAAGTTCAATATTAATTAAACAATTATTAATATAATGAATTATTATCGGTTTGACGAAAAAAAGGATCTTTAATGAACCTGAAAAGCAATAAAACTTCCAAGGCACAGATTTATTGGCTTTCAAATTAAAGATTCAGACAAATAAGTAAGAGTTTGAGAAAAATGAGGTTGGTGTTCCAAGTTTATAGTTGAAAATTTTGTGTACTCACAATAGTCTAGCAATGTTAGCATCTATTACTAACTACAAACTGTTGATCTAGCTCGTAAGGATTTTGGAGGTAGATAAGGAGAATG